CACATGCGTAGACACTTAATACACAAAATCGCAACACTTTTACATATCAAAGTCCACTTCAAACCATTATTTAAACAATAATACAGGAGCAGCAAACCGCCGCCGGTCAATTTCCCGCCAAAACTCTAAAAGACTATTAGACGTACTATATGCATAGATTATGTATTTTTGGCATAGATATAATATGCTACAGGAACACGTGAATGTACCTATATGTATAGAAAACACCTACTATTTTTTATATCGGGCATGTATTCCGATGTATCCATAAGAAAGGTAAATTGTCTCGGAATGAAAATGTATTATTATCTATTATTTACATTTTACTCTTTAGATTAATTTATTTACTTAAAGTTAATTTAGTTTTAACAAAATAATGATGAGTTTCATGGTCTTCTATCAATTTACGGGATAATGTTTATTTGAGATATTTTATATTGATCGGCACCATAAAATAGATATAATTTTTTTTTACGTTCGAGCAGACTATAAAATTTCATAAATGCAGTTCTATAGTGATGAATACAGTATACATCATTATGGAACTGCATTTATGAAATTATAAAATTTAGTATACAGTATACTATACATGGAATAAAACTAATGTTACGGATTTTATCACGTTTAATTTTAACTTCTTTACGTGGGGTTTTTTACGCGTCTTTGGATGAAAGTTCCATAAAAACCCGCTTAAAAGAACACATCGTTGATGTGAAACACCGACGCTCCGGGAAGTCTAAAGTATGTCAACATGTTTAGTATCGTCCCAACCATTATATCGGATCTGATATACAACAAATCCTTGCAATAGAACACCAATTCCTACCAATGAAGATTCGCGAGCCTTTTAAATTAAAAAACATCCTAATTTTAAAATGGAAGATGGCTGAGTGCTATCATCTGGTAAGGACCCTATCTATACAAATAAATAAAATTAAAGTGTCTGTTTGTAATGTCAAAATAACAGCTTTTTACTAAATGTATATGAAAGTATATACGGTAGGTACTTATAACAAAAACACAATTTATAAAAATTTTATCTGTCTGTTTGTTCCGGCTAATCTCCGAAACGGCTGGACCTGGCAGATAGCTGATGTTATAGGAAGTAACTTAGGCTAATTATATTTTAGAAAAACGATTAAGGTTCCGCGCAACATAATTAAAATCCTAAATTACACGCGGGTGAAGTCGCGGGGAACAGCTAGTAATTAATAAAATTAAATTCAAACCCAAGCATACTATTATTGCATTTATTGTATTCATTTCTATTTTTATTCTATTCTAAATATGATATCAGGTCGTCAAACACCTTAGTCCTCCTGTGACCATGGGTACTCTAAAGTGCCCAAAACATCTGGAATTAAAAAAGTTTAAATTAAACGCGATAAAATCCTTAAAATTAGTTTCATTGCTTATAAATTTTATTCACAGTGAACGTGGGAATCACTACACTCATGAACGGGAGTAGAAAAATGTTCGTCTTGTTGTGGCGTTGAAAGAGAATCCGCCACCTCATATCGTCCTGTCGTAAGAGGCGACATAGGAAAACAAACAACAGGAGATGGGCAGCATCATTTTCCTGACAACAGATGTACCTAAATAATAGTATCTGCGGTTGCCAACCCGCCTACCAAACGTGGCAACTATAGCAAATATCCAGCTACTTGACAATTTATGGGGGAGGCCTATGATCATTTCAGTGGACTTTTGATAGGCTGACGATAATGAGTTCCACTCATTTTTGCAACCCTTAATATTTACGGTAGAGTGAAAACAAAAAAGTAACATACTCGAAAATATGAATGAAATAAATACTGCATATACTATTGCCCTATGAAAAGTAAAAAAAGTAGCAGCTTACATACATGTTACTATTGGGCACAGGCCGCCGAGTTTTTGGCCAAAAGTCTTCGCTGCGCAATTCCAACGCGGGATGTCCTCAACTGCGAAACTTCTGTTTTCCTTTACCGCCAAAAATGTGGTAAATTGACATTCCAAATTGCAATTCAAATATATGTTAAAATATATAATAATGCTTACGTACCATGAAATTTAAGTTTTAATCAGTTTGATTACCGGCATTGACAAGTAAAATAAAATGAACCTTTGTTTAAGTAAAACCGGCTTTCTTTAATTAGTAAGTAAGTATTTTTCCGCAATAGCCTGTTCATTTACGTATAGGTATTCATATGAGCTATGAAACCAGGACTATCAAATATATCTTAATGTGTTTGAAAATATGAAAGCTATTTTAATTTACAAACTGATTTATAAGTCTCGTTAAAGGTAAAAAAAGTAAAGTAGCAGCTAATATACACCTCACTAATGTCCACGGCGCTCATCATTACCTATAGTGTTTTGTGGGCAGAAAAATAGCATATACTGCAATGCTTTAATGCATATTAACTGTTTTTACATCTCCACGACTACTTTAATTACTCAGACATCAGGTTTCCCCACGAAGTTATTCGTTACCACTTTAACGGACACGTATTAAGTCAGCACGTAAAGTTTTCTATAACAGTTTTGCTCCCGTGCTACGATGAAATCTCACGGCGAGAGCTACACGGCCCTCGTATTTGTTTAAATACAATTTCTAAAAACTGAAACTGAGCTTGCGTATGATTTTTGACCACATCTACCTAGTAATTACCCTTCCAACGATGCCACGAACAAAATTTCAATTATTTACATCGCAATTCAGTAACATTCTATTATTTAATGAGGGCTAATAATCTTCCACTCACCAGATGTCGCTAGTTGTGACTGAGGTAAAGTTTTTCGTTACATAGTGTCAGTTAATTGAGAAATTAGTTTTAAATAATAGTTTATCGTTATCTAGAGTATTATATTAATATACAACACTGAGTCAGTGGTTTGATTTTTAATTTTTTGCACTTTATAACTCTTTTTTTTATTTTTTCTACTTTAAGTTATATTTATAGTTTGGTTTATTCATTTCTAATGTAATTAATATAAAAATTTTTTCTCAAGCTATATCATGAGATGGTCAACAAACAGTGCTAAATATCATGAAATGATCACACCATTTCACGAAATGATAGACTACTTTATGATAGATATATGATCAATTCTACGATCTGGTCACGACAAATATAAAAATATGTTTAATAAAGCTATAAAGATAATGAAAATTTTGCAATAATTGCAAACAAACCAGTTTTAATCAGTTTACATATAGATTAGTATAATTGAAATAAAAACCTTATCAATTTTCATATTTTTGATAGATGTCACTATTATCTATTGACATTATTACACTTTTAAAATAAAATAACAAAAATACTAAAAAAACTAAACATACAATATTTAAATAATTTTAAAAATCTTATTATTTAAACATATACATATTTTTATTTATATTATTAAATTTATTAGTAACTGAAGGCAAAATATACTAATTTTTCCATTTGATGATAGATGGCGTTATTTTGATAACTACATCAGTGTATTTTACCAAGTTTATAACTATATTTTAAACTTTATTTATAAATTATTTATAAATAAATATGGTATATGGTATTATTAATATTTGATTTATAAATATTTGAAAAACACCCGCTATCCCGCCTAAAACTAATACATAATAGAAAATTAACATTTAAAGAAAGAAAAATACTTAACCTTCTTTTTTTAAGTTCCGTAATCGGATAAAAAGTAGCCTATAAGTTGCCCCGGGTTACTAACTACCTACATACAAAATTTTATGTAAATCGGTCCAGTGGTTTTTGCGTGAATCCGGAATACACAGACAGACAGACAGACAAAAATTCTAAAAACCACTGATTTGGCTTGAGAACCCTTTATTTAGTCCCCTGGACTTGTTTTTTCAAGAATATATTAGAATTACAGACACGACTTTTCTACAGATTTATTATATGTATAGATATAGATTATTATTATATTACTAAACTTTCTTTTTGGGAGTCGGTTAAAATAGGCTATGTTTGAGTCTAACGTAACATCTGGTTAATGTTTCGGTGTAAAGTGACATCTGGTTAGTAAAGGCGTTCTTATTAATAATCTCTTGATGTTGTAAATAAAAAAGTTTTTATTCTATACTCTAAAACGTAGCCTTAGTCAATAAACAAAGCAATTAAAATAAAATAGTTGCGTTAAAATGGCGTCAACGAATCGCGATTATCTGATCATTCCGTATTAGTTTTAAATAGGCACCCATTGTTTTAACACTTAGAGAAGTAGGTATATATAAACATTTGAGTTTTACACAGAGCGTTGCGATTAAACGTTTTAAACACAAATAGAAAATAAATATTTTTAAAAGAAAATTGTGATTTTTTCCCCACAACTAGCAACATTTGTATTATGAGAGCTTAGGTAAGTATTCTTTTAGTTTTACGTTCTTATAATAAATTAAATGTATAAACTTATATGTGAAATGTAATACATACCGTCACTTCTTTTATGTTTATCATCACCGTTGTGACAATATTTTACAACACAAACGGTAATTTTTACAATTTTTCGCGAGCTTTTCTCCGTAAGACGTGACGTTGCGCACTGACGCGTCGCTGTCGCTGAGTCAACTTACGCGGTTTCGCGTTAGTTTTACTTGCTTCACTTTCGGTGCGCGTACTAGTATTCTATGCGTAATAATTCTATGGATTCGTGCAACTATAATTATAAAGGCAACTAGTATTGTGTTCGTACAGTCACGCACAAAGAAATAACATTGTAGTGTGCGTCAATATTACGCCGTTCCAGGGCGATCGCGTAGATTTTGACTTGCGTATATTTAAATATACGCCCCTAAAGGGCGTAAAATAGGATTTATAATAATAAAAAGCAAATGAGTTAATGCATTTATTTAGCTGTAAAAAATACTACGCATAACATTTCTTTGGCTGATATTTTTGAGGTGTTTTTGCAAGAAATGTCTAAACATTTACTACTTAACATCACATAATGTGACTCTATGAGCGACACAGGCAGTATTTTTGTACGTGTGGATTTAAAATCTATCGTCTTTGGAAATTTAACATCTTGATGAGCACGAGTCCCATGATTGTAGCAGCCGCGACGCCAATGCCGGCCTTCCACCATGATGAATTGTCTCCTGCCAAGCTCGCAAAGTGTTTCAGATGTCTGTAAAGTACAATTTAAAGCTGTAAAATGTAATTAAAATGTTATTTTAAATTTTGGCGCTGGCACCCAACTAGCAAAACCGTGTACTATAGCGATCAAGAAATAGTTTGGAGAAACACTAATTAGTGTTTTATATAAGTCCAATAAAAGTTATAACAGTGATTATTGTGACATTATTATCACTAAAAATTATAAAAAAGCCACCACAACCATATTAATGTGCCTTTGAATATAGTAATTCGAGATCGAAAATTCACTTTTTAATTACAGTCTACTTCAGCACTATTTAAAAACTTCCATTAATAAACACATTAGGAAACCACAATAACACTAATTCGCTTCAAAATGTCAATGTTTATACTCGTATTTATATATAAAAATTACGTGTCACGTTGTTTGTCCGCGATGAACTCCTAAACTACTGAACTGATTTCAATGAAATTTTGCACACTGTGTGCAGTTTGGTCCAACTTGAGAGATAGGATAGTTTTTATCCCGATAAGTGACCCTCATTTTTTTTATTGCTAATTTCAGGAGTTTTTTTAGGAAAGCAAATGGTCGTCGCAAAGGGCAGAACAAAGTCTGCCTGGTCAACTAGTTATAGCATAAAATGGTTCTATACTTGATGTGGCTGATTCAGCTACACTATTGTGTTAAAGGTATGGTGTTGATATTAACATTTAAAGCACTTATTATTTGTTACCAAAATGCTGTTTATGATTATACAACAGAAATACTTTATAAGTTAATAATATAGAATACTTTGTCGTAACGGATATTTTAATTACGCTTTATTATAACTTTCGGTGATAAAATAGATTTGTTAGCGGACGACTTTGCTGGTTGGGCGTGTTCGTTTCATACTAGGAATGACAAAGTAAGTAAAATAACGACGCTTGAAAATTAAATATGTATAGATAAAACATTTGTACACATATGATATTTAATTTAGATTTAAAAAAAAGTCATTGAATCAGACACTTGAAGGTGTGTGTATCTATGAATCTACAGAATTGATCGATAAAACTTAAATATGATACTCGAGATCTGAAAGTCCTGATCATGAACAACAAATCTGTTGTAAAAAAAAATGACTGCTACTTTAAAAATAATCGGTATGTACCGATTGATTTTCAAAGTATCTGTCTTATGAATTAAAAATGGTCGCCATATTGAATTTCTTTGTTAATAGACAGATTTCTATCAAAATCCAAATGATTCTCTGATCACCAAAATAATAAAAAGCTTTAATAAAAGCAAATTAAAAAAATAAAAGGTTCAGAAACTAAATTTGTGATATATTTTTTAAATAAACTCAATTCTGACGACGAGTTCAAATTATAAACTATAATGTGCGACTCTCAGATGTCGATTATAAGAACCATCGGTCCGGAAACAATAATTTATAAAATGACAGCCACGTTTTCAGATTTGACGATATCGTGGTCAAGTCAGTCAAGGATCTCGTGGGCTCTCGGCTGTTATTTCAGAAACAATCGGACTAGAAACAAAATATTAAATTTTAGCAGTTCTGGTTCCGGTGAAGATTTTATCCCAGTGCGAGTGTAAGACAGCGCACACGACTCTGTCAATTCTGGCCTATCTATACCACGTAACTTTAACGTTGTGATTTTGACAACGGAGAAGGGAGCGCCTAAAGTCTGTAGCGTCGAGAATACCTCGCCACTTATATATTTTGTGTTACCAAAAACTATTTACGTTCTTGACGTATATCTTTTATCGTTGGCTGCTTTACATGAAATTCTTCTCCCACGATATGTACATACCGCGGTTTATTTCAGGCCATGGGAACATTCTGACATTTCGCATATTCGCCTCCAGCGACACCACAAAGAGTGATATTACGAGGGCGGCACTGAAAATTTCGGGAATCAAGGAAGTGACACAACATTACTATTTAAAAATGTATTTATTGCTTTTCAAAGTATTCTCCGCGAAATTTGACACATTTTTCCATACGATGGAACCAATCATTGAAGCAACCATTCCATTCGCAAGTTGGGGTCTCCAAAATGGCCGTTTTGTAGGCGTCCACAGCTTCTTCAGGTGATGAAAATCTCTGTCCACGCAATTTATTCTTTATTTTAGGGAAAGTATAGAAATCATTAAGGCTTAGGTCGGGGCTGTACGGCGGATGGTCTAATAATTCTATGTTTTCTTGCTCTAAAAACTCTTGTTCTTTGTGCGGTGTGAGAACTCGCATTGTCGTGACGGAGGATGATGCGGCGGTTGCAGTTCTCTTTACGGAGTTCAGAAACGACCTGTGCCAAACAAATGCTAGCATACCATGCTGCATTAACCGTTCTTTGCCCCTCAAGAGGAATAGTCGTAACATGGCCGATTTTGGAGACAAACGTGGCCACCATTTTTTTTGCAACACTCCGTGAACGAACAATTTTTGTTGGCTTTAAGGGGCTACTCCATGCGAACGACCTTGAGCATTTTGCCGGCGGCATGCCGCTCGCCTCAATATATTGCTTATTTGAAATATGTACGACGCCACCACCTATTGTAGGTACGAACGTAGTATTATTTTTTCAACATCAATGAACTAATTTATGGAAATACACACAGCCAAAGATGTTTTATAGGTCATAAAATATCTTTGCACACAGCGTACAACGATAAATGTATTTTAATTTTTTTATTCGGTATATTAGTTGCATTATATTAGAATTATGTATTTTCATATATTATCTAATTATGAAATTTTATAATTAATTATATATTAAAAATGAAGCATTGAAAATTATGAGTTTAAAAGATACCTATTCACTATAGGTAAATAAATAGATAGCTCGCCTTTTGTACAAATATTTGGTGCAATAAATAATAAATAAATAAATAGGATGTTTCGTAGATGTGTTTTTGATTATTGTTAATTTTTACGTGTCACGTATTGAAAAGTAATATACCTAACTACTAATACAAAAATCAACAAGAAGTATAAGGGTTCAATCTTTCAATTTCAATTGTAAAAAAACGTTACCCCCACACTAGGATTTTCTCCTGTGTCGTGGAGGCAGTTTACAAACATAAATTGCACAAGGACAAACATCCAGACCCGGAACAATTATTTGTAAGCCATACAAATACTTGTTCCGTGCGGGATTCGAACCCGCGGCCCCCAGCGCAACAACTAATTGCTAAGCCACTGCCCCACGTAGCCGTCGCCGGGTTATAGCTAAAGTGACCACACGTCCCGTTTTGAACGGGACTGTCCCTTTTCTCGGTCACCTGTCCCATTGTCCCCAAACAAAGCTCCGGGACACAAAATTGTCCCGTAACTCGTTGGATGGAAGCATTCAAAGTCAACAATCTTCAACATAATTTTTTTTAATCGAATATATTTTATGTCTACCTGGTACGAATGCTCCGGTAGAAAGAGTATTTTTTTTTTATTTTGAATAAATTGTGGACGTCTGAAAGAAACACTTACGGTTCCAGAGTTCTAAAGGCGATGTTGTTAACAAAGATAACAATAAAAAAACTTGAGCAGAATTTTATTTTTATTTAAAATCATCACTAACTTTATTAAATTATATTAATTTAATCCACTGACAAATGTAATTAATAATTAAGAAAAATATGTTGCATTTAATAATTACCGTCTATACCGAATATAATTTTACAGTGAACACTAATTGTATAAAGTTATAGTTTCTAGAGTATAAATAAACCCATGTCCTGTTTTGAGTTAAAAAATAAATGGTCAGTTTAGTCTTTTTAGTTAAATTTAGTTTTAAAAATTTTTAGTAGTAAAAAGTAGGTATATTAGTACCTACTTAGATACTTTTTACCGAAGTATAAGTATAGAACACCTTATGTACTCAATTATTTTTTGAAAAAGAAGAAAAAACAAGCAATAAATAATATACTATATTTTAGCAAAAAACTATAACTTAGTAATACTAATTATAACTTAGAACATAAATGAAAAACTCATAACTGACAGGGCCCGACCCAGGATTCGATCCCGGGACCTAATGATCAGCAGTCGCACTACTACAACCACTAGACCAACGAGGTAGTACTGTACATAATAAGATATTGTGGTTGGGTGATAATATTGAATTAGCCTTTTATAGTGTAAATTATAATATTTATCGAAATTTTAATTATGGATTCGAACCTTACATGCCAATGGTGCTTCATTTTTTTATTTGCATTTACTTCAAAGAAAATACACGCAAAAAGCTTCATCGCGCAGTAAAAAACACAACAAATATATGTATAACTAATACGAAAAATTATACCCAAAACAAACAAATAATACTACCTATAAATAACCTAATAAGTAATATTATTTATCGACTGATATTACGTGAGTGTATGCGGCGCTGGTCGACGCTCTAACGACACGGGCTTCGCGTCGAAGAGCTCAGGGCTCAATGACTCCAGCAAGCCCGTGAGCAGTGAATATGCCCAGATTTTAAAATAATTTCTTAATAAAATCAAATTTTGGTCTTTTGAAAAAAAATTTACTATAGAAATGTTTATTAATAAATTGTCTATCCATTGGTGTAAATCGCAAAATAAAATAATACTTACTTTACGAGGAGATCCATGTTATCAATAATAATTTCACATTTATGTGGTTTCGTTGTAAGGAGATTATATTAATATTTATTAGTTTAAAAAAAAATTGGATATAGCTTTTATGGAATCAAGATTATGTAGAAATATAATGTGTTTTTTATTTGTTGATATATCTTTTAAATAAAAAGTAGATAGCTTCTGAAAACCGCACAAATAACGACTAGCGCGACATTTTGCTCAACCTGCGCCTTAACTCATTTTCGAACACCCAAACTCGTGACTGGTTTTTTGTTTCGGGTTCGTACGCGTATATCCAGGATTCGTCACCTGATACGATGTTGTATACAGCATTTGAGGATCCTGCGTGGAATCTTTCGAGAGTTCTGACGCACCAAGTAACGCGAGTCATTTTTTGCTCTTCACAGAGCGAATGCGGTATC